GAGAGAGAGAGAGAGGTGGCAGATACCGGGTGTTCGAATTAGAGACGATGCTCATAAACTGCAGTGATGTCATAAACTGTTTATGGAATAGAAAACCGTCTTTACCTTCAGAAACACGCTGTCTATTGCAGAGACTAACAACGAAACTGGAGCAGCGCGAAACTCGTTAATCTCGCCAAGTGTGTTGCTTAACATACTATGACTTTAGTGCGCATGATTATGAGTGACTGGCGACCTGTGGAATGCAATCTTGAAGTCCCCTGCAATTCAAAGCTAAATACTCGCGACAAAGCTGTCCAGTGAGCCGCAAATTCTCCAAGAGAGGATATCAAGTTCAAATGGCATGGTCCCCTGAAAGCCCTGTCCAGGTTCTTTAAAGTGCAGCATGCTCCTGACGAAATCACTGACCTACATGAATCGTTGGCGTACAAGTGTTCTGGCCCCCCTTAGCAACACTGTGGTGAAGCTGGTGGTTTTTGGTCTAGCAACCTCGATATGATCAATTGGTTTGATTACGCTATTATGCCCTGACCCTTTTTTGGCATCTGACGAAATTTTGCCTATGTTATTGACAGCATGATCAAGATTTGTTTTTTGGGAAATCGACGCTTCCAAAAGATGCACACTTTTTTGAGAACCCTCCCCTTCTTTGGTCTGTCGTGTCGTACTAAAGCCAAAATAATAACTGAAGAAATACGTGCAACTGTGTGTGTGCATGTGCCTGTGCGTGTAGCGTGTGTCTGTGTGGGGGTGGGTGCGTGCGTGGGTGCATGTGTGCATGTGTGTGTGTGTGTGTGTGTGTGTGTGTGTGTGTGTGTGTTGTCATATTCACTATACCGTTAAAAAAAAACCAGGATGGATGACTGTGCCAGACTGTTTCGTTGGACTTTCACCGATTCATCAGGAGGTTGAACCCCGACAGTCTGCCCAGGATTTCCCCCACGACAGCCCCAATTCCACCGAGATCAGAATCCAAGCAGTTTTTGTCCTATCGCAGACCATGAGAGCACTGGAGTCGAGGCCAACATTTAAGCAATTTTACAGTTAGACAGTATTTTGGTTTTCCTTGGGGTACCCCTTCCATTTGTGCTTGCAGCACCCCTTTTACTATGGCTCACCCACGTTGACTGTGGTTGAGCGGCAGTTGGCCACGTTATGAAAGGAGGCAGAGTTAAGTGGAAGGTGTACTCCTGTTCATTCCACTTCAGATCTTGAGCTTATACTTTGCCTGTTCTCTTAATGATGCTGATTCGTATGTTATTTGCTAGTAGAACATAAGGGGAGGGTAAAAGGAAAAAGGTAGGAAGCCAAGTTCTATAGGGAGTGAGGGGCTGGGGAGGGAGAAAGGGTAGGATAGGAAGTGGAGTGCAAAGGACAGGACAGAGATGTGACGGACTTCACAGGATTCTGAATACTCATCGCCGGAGCAGACTACTGTGGAATTGCACATTGAGGCCAGTCAGTGCCTGGGTTGCATAAGGAATTCTATAGGGCGTGAGGGGCTGGGGAGGGAGAATGGGTAGGAGAGGAAGTGGAGTGCAAAGGACTGGACAGAGATGTGTCGAACTTCACAGGATTCAAAACTCATCGCCCGAGCAGACTACTCTAGAATGGCACATGAGGCCAGTCAGTGTTTGGGTTGCATAAGGAATTCTATAGGGAGCAAGGGGCTGGGGAGGGAGAAAGGGTAGGAGAGGAAGTGGAGTGCAAAGGAAAGGACAGAGATTTGACGAACTTCACAGGA